CGTAGTCCCCCGACCCACTATTACCCATGTTGTGGGCCCTCCGCATGCGGTCCCTGCTCCCGCAATATCCTGACCCACTATACCCCCATTTGCGGGCCCTCCGCCTGCAATACCACCACGCGCCTCTCGACTGGACCGAATGTACATCTCCACCTCTATCCAGAACTGACTCGCAACATTTCTAATCATTTCTATGCTCCATTATGCTCCCTAGCATTCGAGCTTCCCTCCAGAGCTCCCTGTCGATGGAGGCTCAACCCGTCCCTCCTTTCCCGTCCATACATAGCTAAAGCTTTGGACTATCTCATCCCCGCCTTGCCCCCCTCTCCGTCTCCGGAAGAATGGGACGCACGTTAACATGCCCTTGCATTGTGCATAAAAAAAATCTCCAACCGGGAAAGATGTCGTGTACACAAAATTCTTGAGCTCCTTCACCACCTCATTATCCAACTCCAACTACAATATATCGCCATGCCTTTAGACGCAGTGTCAGCCACTCGCCCGTGCAAGGCCCAGCAACACCTCGCGAATTACTATGTTGCTAAAGCCGCCCAACTTGCTCCCAAAGCTAAGCTCAAGATCCAAGGTCACCGCGATATGGGGATTTCCTCTCTCCTCGCAAGAACTAATGTGAAGAAACTACGAGAAATGAATTGACTAGGAATGAGAAAGGTACAAGTATGAAACCCTAGGAAAGCTGTACCCCATATTGTCTACCCCACTACAGCCTACACAGGCTATATCATATATGTCTGACACACCCCCATAGGCAAAGTGGGGGAGAACAAGGGGTCACAAGACCAGTCAAGCAAAGCGAAGCAAGCTCAGGGTGGATCACAACGTCACCACACATTCCGAGCACAAGTTCAAAGGCCACAAGGCCAGTTCACATGCAGGATTATAAATCAAGGTGAACAAGCAAGACAGTGATCCCAACCTAGCAAGGGTAAACATGCAGGTGCCAGTATCTATAGATCACAGTACAAGCAAAGCCAGGAGGTAAGCAAGTGAGGCAAGGTAGGCACAAGACCTAACATAGTACGGAACCGCTGATGATCACAAGGCTGAAGTGCCTTGGTAAAGATATCAGCAGTGTTGGCCTCAGAGGCCATGTAAGCAAGGCGCAGCTGACCACGCTACTATAGCTCATGTGCAAGAAAGTAATGAAGAGCAATGTGCTTCGTTCTGTGCTCCAGTCTGTGCTCCTGACACAAGGCCAGCATGGCCTTGTTGTCTACGTACAGAAGTGGAGGAGAACAAGGCAGCTCTCCCAGGTCGGTCAAAAGGTAGGTGAGCCAGTGTAACTCCTGTGCAGCCATGGCCCCTACGTAGATCTCAGCCTCATAACTGGAGCTGAGAACAGAAGACAAGCGGCGTGACCGCCAAGAAACAGAGCCGCAGCCAAGGCTGAAGGTGTAACCCTCTGACGACCACTGCGTAGCCAAGTCGTCAGCCCAAGAAGCGTCTGCGTGACCAGTGAGGACAACTCGAGCGCGTCCTCCAAGCACAAGCCCCATGCCCGACGTACTGCACAAGTAGCGCAACACCCTCTTAGCAGCATCCATGTGCTCCTTCCTGTATCGGTCAGGAGCGACAAAGCGTGCTAGAATGCTAAGAGGGTAGGCTAGGTCAGGTCGAGTGCAGGTCATCAGGTACATGAGGCAGCCCACAAGCTCTAGATACGAGCCACTCGGCTCTACGGACTCGTCCGAAGGTGGAGCTGAGAGCGAGTGACCGGTAGGCAGAGGAGTGGACTATGGCGAGGAGTACGTGAAGCGAAAGCGCTAAAGGACCTGCTGCACCATGTGTGACTGAGTCAGGGTAATGGTGCGCCGTGCTCTGTCCCGGGTGATTTGCAAGCCAAGATAGCTGCGCAGCTCACCCAGGTTTGCGCTCGTGTGTCGTTTCTACAGCTCCGACTTCACGAGGGCCAGTCCAGCAGTGTCACCAGTAGCAAAGACCAAGTCGTTGACGTACACGAGGACGTAGAACGGCGACAGAGTAGTATCGGTGCGGAGAAACAGCGATGGGTCAGCAGTGCAAGGAGCAAACCCAAGAGCCCCAAGCGTAGTCCTAACTGTGTTGTGCCACTCACGGGGCACCTGGCAGAGACCATAGACTAGCCGCCGGAGGCTCCACTGGGTACCAGGAGGAAACGACCCAGTAAAGCCAGGTTGGCGGCGTAGCCAGATCTCCTCGTGCAAGCTGCCCTGTAGGAAGGCTGTGCTTTAGTCAAGAGAGTGAAGCTCGTAGTCACGCTGAGCGGCTATGTGCAGCAGCACCCGAAGAGTGGTCATCTTCAGGGTAGGAGAAAAGGTCTGAAAGTAGTCAACTCCCTGCCGCTGACTGAAGCCTCGAGCCACGTAACGCGCCTTGAAGACAGGCGGAGAACCCGGCGGCCGCTTCCCCCTGAAAATCCACATGCCACTGACGATGTTCGCCCCAGGTGGGGGAACCTTGTTAATGTAGGTGCCTGTGGACTTCCAGGAAGCCATCTCTGCGTCCATGGCAGACTGCCACTGAGAGGAGTAGGGTTCCTCTGTCCCCTCTGCGTAAGAGCGCGGGGTCGGGATATCTGGTGCATCCGGGTCTCCCTCAGGGGCAAGCAGCATGGATACGAGATGAGGTAAAGCAGCAGCAAAACACTGGAACTCCTCCTGCCTGTCCTCAAGGACGTCCGTGCTAGGAGCACACTCACCCCCGACGGACGGAGGACAGACGGACTCAGACTCAGCAACAAGACTAGCGGCGTAGTCTAGAGGGCAGTGAGCAGCAAAGTCGACAAGCTCTGCAACAAGAGCCGACGCAGCAGTAGACTCAAAGGAAAGGGTCAGTGACAGTAGTAGCTTGAAGACGTGTGACAGTAGGACTGGCAGTGCGAGGAAGGTCAGACGGCCGGTCAGCAATGTCAAGAAGAGAGGACGCTGGAGGAGACAGCAGATGGACACGCTGTGGAGCAGTGGAAGGACGGAGTGCCATCTGGTGCGTGCTTGGGACAGCAAAAGGACGTTGACGCGGAACACGACGGCCAGTGCGAGCAGCACGAACAGGCGACGCAGGACGAGACTCAGGCTCACGACGCTCCGTAAGACCTACGGTCGGACCAGTGTAGGGAGAAGGACCAGGTAGTGGCGAGGCAGGCTGTAACTGTGACTACGACTGGACAGGTAGAGGACACTCTAAAGAGGGAGCAGGACCAGTAGCATGTGGGAGACCAAGAACCTGCTGAAGGAGCGGAACGAGGTATGGCCGCGGCCGTGTAGCGCCCCCAGAACCAGCAGAGGCAGCACCAGTACCCCCAGCGTCAGCTCCAACTCCTGCAGCACCACCAGCAGCTCCAGCAGCGCCAGCTCCAGCACCCGTAGGAGCACCAGCTCCAGGAGCATTGCCAGCGCTAGTATCTTCAGCAGCACCAGCTCCAGTAGGACCACCAGAAGCCCCAGCAGCTCCAGCTCCAGCACCTCCAGCAGCACCTCCCGCTCCAGCACCAGCTCCAACAGCACCACCACGCCGAGCAGCTCCTGTACCTCCAGTACGAGCACCTCTAGGACCAGCAACTCCAGAGCTCCCATCACCTCCAGCGACTGCAGCACCTCCAGCACCAGTAGCACCTCCAGCCCCAGCAGCACGGCTCCAGCGCCGAGCAAACCTCTCGCGCAGTTGCCGTGAAGAGAGTGGCTCACGCCTGGACGAGGCACCTGTAGGACTCCCAGACACAGCACCACCAGGCTCCACACGTGCAGGCTCAGCACCCTCAGGCTCCGCACCCCTTGACTCAGCAACCCCAGGCTCAGCACCCCCAGGCTCAGCACCCCCAGGCTCAGCACCCCCAGACTCAGCACCCGCAGGCTCAGCACCCCCAGGCTCACCACCCCCAGACCCGGCACCCGCAGGCTCAGCAATCCCAGGCTCAGCACCCCCAGGCTCAGCACCCCCAAACCCGGCACCCGCAGGCTCAGCACCCCTAGCAGCACCAGAGTCAACAACTACCTTGACAAGCTCGAGTGCGTCTACATGGGACACACCTGACAGGGCAGGACCCTGTGGGGGGAGGGGGTCTACCGGGGGGGGACCTGGCGCAAGGAAGAGCGGCGGCGGGGGAAGGGGGGCAGTGCGGTAGGGAAAGAGACAGTAGTAAGGAACTGACTCGTCAAACGTGATGTCCTGAGAGGACATAACATGGTGCGAGGCGGGGTGGTAAAACTGCCAACCAGGTGTTTCAAGGGGGAAGCCAAGGAAGACGCAGGGAACAGCACGGGAGGACAGCTTGTCCGCAGACAACTCGCGGACGAAGGCTCGAGATCCCCAGACACGGAACGGAGACGCATCGCCAACCTTCCCCGTCCACCGCAGAGTAGGGGTGGTCTCCGACATGGAGACCCGGGGCTGGAGGTTGATCTGATGCGCTGCGTACTGAACCGCGAACGTCCACAGAAAATGGGGAGCAGCCGCATGGATCATGGACGTACGAGCGACGTCCATGACCATGCCAATGCGGCGCTTAACAATCCCATTTTGCTGTGGAGAGGCCGGAAGCGTGAAGGTCTGGGGGATGCTCTCCGCCTGACTGAAGGCTCACAGAATGTCGGAGGAAAACTCTCCACCTCTGTCGGAGTGCAGACGCAGAACAGGAAAGTCCGAGTCGAAACTCTCTCTGAGCTGGAGACGAGCTGCGCGGATCTAGTCGATCAACACCTCAGTTACCTCACCCTTGCGGCGCAAGGGGAAGATCGTGTCACGATATATATAGTTCGGAAAGTACAAATATGCAAGACAGGCATGCAAAAGGTGCACCACCAACAAGAAGGAAACATAACTACACTAAAGCTAAAGCTACAGGCAGTTATGAACAAATATAAAATATATATCATAAGACACCCCCTTAACTGCCTGCAGCACACAGCTAGAGTGAGTCACACCCCCTTAAGTTGCTTGCGATAGGAGCTTGGAAAGCCACGGAGGGGTAGAAGAAGCAAAGGAAGCAACAACACGCATCAGCCATGAGAAATGCAACCACGGCAGGTGCAGGACCCGAAAGGTGGGCGTGAGAGCAAGCGCCATGGCCGCAACGAGCAGCAGGACAGCGCAGGTCAGCACCTCCCAGGCGTGCCTGCAACAGGCAGCAGTTGCAGTGATGGCAGATGGAGCTACAGTGACCTCAGCCACGGCAGATGCAGCAGCGACAGGTGCAGGACCTGGCAGGTGGGCGTGAGAGCAGGCGCCGTGGCTGCAACGAGCAGCTGGACAACGCAGCTTAGCACCTCCTGGAGCATGCCTGCTACATGCAACGGCTGCAGATGCCCGACTTGCCTCTGCCACCCCCTCAACCACTGTCCCCCCTACTTTGGAAGCTACGGAAGGAGGCGGGGCGGCGTACGGTGCTGCTGGCGGGGTCTCTACTGGCGGGGTCTTTGCTGGCGGTGTATCTGCTGGCGGGGACTCTGCTGGCGCTAACGCTGCTGGCGGGGTCTGGTGCTGGCGGCTGGCGCTGGTGCTGGGGTTGGCGCTGGTGCTGATGCCTGGTGCTGGCGAGACGGCCTGCTGGCGGGGGTCTCTGCTCGCGGGGGTCTCTGCTGGCGGGGGTCTCTGGTGGCGGGGGTCTCTGCTGGCAGGGGTCTCTGCTGGCGGGATCTCTGTTGGCGGGGGTCTCTGCTGGCGGGATCTCTGCTGGTGGGGGTCTCTGCTGGCGGGGATCTCTGCTGGCGGGGGTCTCTGCTGGCGCGGGTCTCTGTCGGCAGGGTTCTCTGCTGGCACGGTCTCTGCCGGCGGTGTAGCTGCAGGCGGGGTCTGGTGCTGGGGCTGGTGCTGGTGCCTGGTGCTGGGGCTGGCGTTGGTGTTGGTGCTGGTGCTGCTGCTTGGTGCCTGGTGCCTAGTGCTGGGGCTGGCGCTGGTGCTTGGTGCCTGATGCTGGGGCTGGCGCTGGTGCCTAGTGCTGGGGCTGGCGCTGGTGCTGGTGCCTGGTGCTGGCGTGACGGGGCTGGTGCGGGTGTTGGCGCTATTGCTGGTGCTGGTGCCTGGTGCTGGCGGCTGGCGCTGGTGCTGGTGTTCCGCCGCCACTCCCTTCCCCCTTTCCCACTCTCCCCCACAGCATTCCGCCGCCACTCCCTTCCCCTCCTCCCTCTCCCACCCACAGCGACCGCCTCTGCACACGCGAACAGTCGCGACGGGGGGGGGGGGGGGGTAAACGGGCAAGGGGCCGGGGAAATGCGACGGGCGGCGCGAGGCGACGGGAGGGAAGAAAACGGGACAGGGGGGGAAGGGCCGCGACGACCGCCATGGACGCCGTCCCCTTCATTCCTGATGCTGCGTCCCCCCCCCCCCCCCCCCCCCCCCCCTTGCGCAAACTCGGCAGCAGGCGTAGGCGCGGGCAGAGGTGGTGATGGGGGGGAAACGCGACAGGCTGGCGACCGGGATGAAACGTTGACAGCGCGCGTAGGTGCTGGCGCGTTGGCGGGCTGGTGACGGAATCGCTGGCGTGCTGGCGTGTCCGCTGGCGGGCTCGTCGGCGGGCTCGTCGGCGGACTTGTCGATTCGCTTCCACCCCCCCCCCCCCCCCCCCCCCCCCCCGTCGTTGGTGTGCTCGCTGGCGGTTCTGTCAGCGGATTCACTGGCGGGCTCGCTAGCGCGTTCGCTATGGGCTGTGGATGCCATGGGCAGAACACGACGATCTTGGGCGGACTGAACGGGAAACGCGCTACGAACTGGGGACGCGAGGATTACGGGTTGGTGGGCCCATAAAATCGCAGGTCCTAGAAGGAACTACGCTCTGTTACCATCTTACGACACGATCTGAGCTGGTAACCGGGTTTAACTAAGGGGCCTAGGCTTAGTAGCCTAGGCCAAGCGGGTGACGAGGGTCAAGGCCAAGGACGATCGAGAATATTGACCAAACAAGTTGGTTTCACTATAGTTCGGCAAGTACAAATATGCAAGACAGGCATGCAAAAGGTGCACCACCAACAACAAGAAAACATAACTACACTAAAGCTAAAGCTACAGGCAAATATAAACATATATAAAATATATATCACGACAGGCCGTGGTGTGACGCGAGTAGTCGTCAACAACCATCAGGAAGTAACGCTCGTGACCCTGTCCACGGACGCGGGCTGGGCCCCACACCTCCATGTGGAGAGTCTGCAGCGGAGCCTTTGTCGGAGGAAACTCGGAGGAGTGAGGAGCGGCGCGCTGCCGGCCCTCGACGCAGGAAACGCAGGTAGGGGCAGGCCCCGGAGGAAGGGGAGGGAGGGATCGGGGGAGACCAGAGACAAGGATACGGGAGGCCATGCCTCGGAGACGAGGCAAGGAGGGGTGACCAAGGCGGTGGTGCCAGAGGAGAGTCCGGTGAGACAGGAGGCGACACGAGCAGGGGGCAGACTCAGGACCAGACCGGGACGCTGCAGCAAACACCTGACCGGACGCGGCTACCTGACCAGACTCAACAACCAGAGGAGACACGGTAGTCAGGGTGTACACGCTCGACCCAGGCTGATGGGCGAACGTGGCCAGGTGCCGGCCCGTCCAAGTACACGAACAGTGAGTCACCCTCTGACTGCCTAGAGTGAACTGGTCAACCCACGCGTCCAGAAGGTCAGCTCCACTCACCAAATTCGTGGAGAACGAGGGGAGGCGAAGGCCCGATAGGGAGCCAGACGGGACCGCCGGACACGGCAGGACTGTGGAGGAGTGTGCAAGGACTAGACCCCCAGAGGGGTCAGCCAGGGAGACTGCCACTGGCCGACTGAGCGGCGCGAGAGTGGTGGAGTCGCAAAAGAAGGAGCGGAAAGCACCCGAGTCAAGAGTGAAGCTGTGCAAGACCTGAGCCGATGCGGTACCTGAGAGAGCAGACTCACCAGCACCTAGGGCAGCAGACGCACTAGCACCTGGAGTAGCAGACGCACTAGCGCCTAGAGCAGCAGCCCCAATGCCCGGGTCGGGCGGAACACACAGGTAACAGTTACCCTCAGCACTAATAGTCACAACATACATAGCAGCAAGAATAGCATCATAATAAAGATCAAAGATAGCAACACCTGACTTGAGGAGATCACTCCAACGAGGGATCTCAATGGCGTGAGGGAACTGCGTACGCAAGGCGTCAGTTAGGCGGCCGAAGCAGCGCTGCGTTGTGTGCGGGCCGCCGCACGTCTCCCCAATGCCGCTACCTCCGCCGCCTCCACCTCCACCGCCGCCACCGAAGCCCCCACTCTCGCCACCACTCCCACCACCACCCCCACCCCCTCCGCCGCCTCCACTGCCACCACCGCCGCCCCCACCATCCCCTCCACCACCCTTGCCCCCCTTGCCCTTGCCGTAGCGGCACCTCCCACTAGGAGCAGACGCAGCGCCGACCGAGTCGGTGCCAACGAGGTTGACAGCAGCAGCAGAGGCAACAGAGGGCAAAAGAGGGACGGGGGAGCACCCCTCAAAGAAAGGGGCACGGGGGTCCCTACGAGAGGCTCCTACAGAGACTATACTCTTCTCAGCTGCAAGGAGGCGCTCCTCGAGGAGGTCAACGGTGAACGTGGTGGGGCAAAGAGAGAGGAAGTGGTCCCTGACCGAGCGAAGGGAGTCAGGGAGACGGGTGACGAGGTAGTAGAGAGTGATGTACATAGGGGGGGGGGGGGTTCTTGGCGGAGAACTCGGTAGGAAGCGCAGCGCGGTAGCAGGTGTCACTAGTGCGGAGGTGCGTAATGAGGTCAGCAACAGTGGTAAAAGCGGCTAGGTCAGGGAACAGGTACGGTAGCATGAGGCAGCTAAGGGCAGCAGTGGCAGGGGAGGAGTAGCGCACAACAACAGCCTCATACAGAGTCCTAGCGGTCTTGTACTAGCTAAAGTGCGCGCGCTCAGCAGACGGCAGGTGACTACGAATAGCAAGACGGGCAGCAGCATCGCGCGTAGTCCACTGTGAGCGAACAGCACTGTAAGCATCAGTAGTAGGTGCAGCAGAGGCGCGAGACGTGAGATCGAACAAAGAGACTCCGCCCCTAGAGTCGCACTGCAGAAAAAGCTGCAGATCATCAACCCAAACCTTGAAATTGATTGCTCGACCCTCAGCATCAAAGGTGAGCACATTAGGGTTAGCTATGGTGGCAGTAGCAGTAGTAGTAGCAGCAGCAGTAGCAGTAGCAGTAGCAGGAGCAGCAGCAGTACTAGCGCGACTTGGCAGAGCGGCGCGGCTCGGCAGGGCGGCACGGCTCGGCTGGGCGGCGCAGGTGCGGCGGTGCGCTTACCAGAGTGGGGTAGGGCCGCGACCAGTAGGGCAGGGCCGTGGCGTGCCGGCAGGGCAGGGGCCGCGACAGGCGGGGCCGCAACGAGGCGGCAGGGCAGGGCCGCTTCAACCAGGGCCGCGAGAAGGCGGCAGTGGAGGGGCCGCGACAAGACGGCGGGGCCAGGCCGCGACTGGGCGACTGCAGGGCGGGGCCGCGTCACAGCTGCTGCAGGGTAGGGCGGCACCGAGGCTGCGGTAAGGCAAAGCCGCGGCAGGGTAAGGTCGTGCGGGCGGCGAAAGCGAGTTGCAGTAGGCGGGTGGGGCATGGTCGCGACGACAGCGCGGGCGGGCTGCTAGGGGTTGGCAACAACGAGGGTGGGCCGCGAAGGGCAGGGCCACTAAGGGCGGGCCGCTAAGAGCAGCGCGCGCGACGGCAGGGCAGGCGCACGGGGCGCAAATAAGGCAAGCTCGAGGCGCGCGACAGGGGCAGAGGCGCGCTTCGGGCAGAAGAAAAAAAGTCTCAATGGTGGGCCCTTAAAAAAAAAACGGTCCCACTGGGGAACCCGCTCTATACCATGTGAAGAAACTACGAGGAATGAATTGACTAGGAATGAGAAAGGTACAAGTATGAAACTGTAGGAAAGTTGTACCCCATATTGTCTACCCCACTACAGCCTACACAAGCTATATCATATATGTTTGACAATTAACACCCGCATTAAATCATCTTTCATCTCCTCCATCACCCTTCCCAATAGGCAAAACATTAGCGATTTTCCAATCCCTTGACAGCGGCATCCCGTCCGCCTCCCCAAATCCAGACTTCTAGCGACACATCCCTCGCTCCTCTCCCTCCCCCGTGCTCTCACTTCCGCTCCCGCAACCCCATTTTCCCTGCTTGAAATTGGCAAAGCCCTGAGTCAGGTCTCGCACGGGAAGACCCCAAGTCCGGGTGGAATCCTTGTAGAATGTTAAGAAAGGAGCTTAGGCTAAGAAGCCATAGCTAGGTTTTAGGGTATATGAAAGAGAAATAGGAGAAGGAGTTGAACTAGAAAGGAGGGGGATACAAGTAGCAAGCCCAAAAGGTTTATACTCACTTTTGAGTACCCCACTACAGACTAGACAAGCATTATAATCTGACACACCCCCATAGTCAAAGTGGGGTATAATCAGTACAGCATGCAGGCATAGAGCAAGAGTTCACAATGATAAGCAAAGCTAGAAGCTATCACAGAGGGCAAGTGAGGAGGAGGAGAGACTGTGTAGGGAGAGAAGATGCGAGGCAACGACTGAAGCTGCAGAGGCACGGGCACAGGAGCGGCTGCCTCAGTGGCTACCGAAGCAAGGGCGACGGACTACTAGAGTGACTGTCCCCGCGGCTATAGACGAGCGGCAGGAGCAACGGACCCACTGGCGACTGGTGCAACAGGCTCACTGGCTACCGAAGCAAGGGCGACGGACTACAGGCGCTGCACGCGACACGACTACTACCTTCACACAACCTCCCCCAGCTGCCCCACTCCCCTCTCACACACCCCCTGTTCAAACCCTAGCTCCACTCCCACAGCACCCCCCTTAAACCCTAAACCCTAGGTTCCCACACACCCACCCCCCTCAGCGACAGCTGCAGTAGTGGGAGATGAGGGAGGAGGGGGAGGAGCAAGGGGAGGAACACATAACCACCACCCCCACAC